AATAGTCCTCAATGTTTTTTTTTTCCAATCCCAGCCAGAGCCCAAAATTTTTTCCAAAAATGACGGCAAATAATTTCCAACATCAACCCAAACTTAGCCACACTTTATCATGACATAAAAAGTCATTCAGCCATATAAAAAAGTTTCTATAGTGTATAAGACTGTACTTACCTTGATACTCTTGGTACTGGAATTCGTCATGATATAGGGCAAGGTATCTTTCCTGATCACATTTCTCTTCTTCTGCCCGCTCCTCTTCAGTCAGTCCTTCCCATCGGTCTCCTCCTCCCCCTGATTCAGCTTCTTTGAGGTCATAGAGAGCTCCACGAACATCATATCTAAGCACAGAATAAAACCATATAATCAATATCCAAATTACACATACATTGGTATTCATAGAATAATTAAAATAATAAAAGTTTCTAAATTCTTCTTCAAACACTGGATTTATATTATGTTATTTCCAATTACAAGAACATATATAAAGGGACATGTATAAAATTAGTATGTATGTTTCTTTGGTTGTGTGCCATGATGACTCCAAATCCCATGATAACCAGTATTTGTCATAATTTTTCTTCATTCCATATATTAGCGAAATACCCCCTTCCTGGGGGGTATTTTGCCGTACACATGAAGCATACCTTTCTAACCCCCTACCGGGGGAAAGCCCCCAGATCCCTTTCCCTGGGGCATTTCCCAACAGGGGGCAAGCCCCCGGACCCCTTACCCTGGGATATTTCCCCAAATTTCTCCCTTCCCCCAAAATATTTAGCTTACTTAAAAGAGACAGAGGATATAAGTCGGCAGCAACAAGCAGGAAATGGTGCAGTCGCTGTAGTCTATCTATGTTCAATGCCGCAATTTGAACAATTCAATGTTTTTAGTATAACACCATGAGCACGTACACAATCCAAATATTCAATATCTCCAACAAATTTCAGCATAAAATCACCATACCCATAGTCATAGCCGGCACACAATGTCATTGTCACTTGTTTGCACCAAGGTCGTTAGGGTCAAAATGTCCAGTGGACTCTCAAAATGGGTAGTCAAATCAGTAACGATAGGTTCGTGATATTAACCGACGAATAATTTAAGATATTGTAAATTATCGTTTATCTTAAATCATATATATGAATATAAATAAATATCATGAACATATCAAATACAAGAAATAAAAGAACTCTTATTAAATGTTTTTAATTTACTGGGGATATACAGCGACATCTATGAACTTTTCAGGAAGCTCACAATATTGTTTACATTCGATGAGGTTCGAGATAACGAGGTTTTTTCTCTCGATGATGAGGCAACTTTTGAATTTCAAATGAAGCACAACCTGTGAGTTCCCCACAATTTTATTAAATTCACCGACAGTACGAACACTAGTCAATAATACTATTATACTTTCCTCGGTATATGTAGTGCAGACGCCTTAATCAGCATTGCCAAAATGACAACCAACACGAAGTCCTAGGTATACATTAATTTTTTTCTGAAACTTCTCAGTTTATGAACAAATCCAACACTCATTTCCTTCACAAGTGAAGCACAGCTATAATATCAGTCCCAATAGCTGAGGAGGGCATGATAAGTATCAAGTGAATGATTGAAGTAAAACTTTCAGTAATTTAGTCATTGCAAAACACATCTATAGTAAATTGAGTGCTGGAAAATCTTCACTTTGCATATTCTGGCAGGATAGGGCCTCAGCCAATATCTAGATCTCTCACAATAATTTCTTACCTTGACCAATGAAACGTGATCGCCAGCCTGCAAATCGTCAAAATCCTCATCAACACTGTTGGTGGGAATTGCAACATACCTTGCAGTATCATGTTTTCATGTAAAAGGTAAAACAGCATCATATATACAGCATAGCCATGATGGAACATTTAAATTTCAACTGCTTTCCCTTATGTTCAGCTTCTATTGTTATGCGATTACAAATCTTATTGACTGTAATAGACTGGTCACTTATGTCACATTATGGCCAAGTACAATTCCCATTGGGTCGCTAATGTCATACTCTACAATCTGACTGTTTTATAGCTTTCTTGATTTGATCATTTCCTCTTGCCATGGAGCACCTGGAATTATTGAGCTTTACGTCTTCTCTACTACCCTCAATAATAGTTTGCGAAGGAATTGCTACAATAGAAAAGGGTCTTTTACTGTTACATTCTATCCAGACTGTAGAGTATTTGTCTTCTGCTGGGAATATTACATTTTTTCATGCGCGGAATACATGATTTTGTTTACAACTGTGTGGATGGATCTGCGGACAGATGATGAAACAAATGCATGGAAAGGTCAGAAGAATTTTAAGCGAGGAAGATGATTTAAAAAAGAGCTAAGCGTACACAGAGTTTCCAGAGAACTACATTTGCGCGGACATAATTTGACCAAATAATTTTTGCAGACCAAACTCTGCAGCCTGGCATTCTATCACACGGCAAGCCTCTGATTTTAGTGTTTAGTATCATTTCCAATAATGCCCTAGTTTTCCTCTACTTTCACCGGGCCTTTCCTATACATCTAGCATTCATTTTCAAAGAATGACTTTCATACACCCCAGTCTAGGAAACATAACATTCATTTCAATATGCCCATTCATTCTGTAAATCACCAGTAACAATTAATCCTGAAGAGAAATCCCGGCCACCTATACCGTTCAAATCCCGCTTAATAAATGACAAAAGATTATCACACAAAGCTGAAAATATCAAAATACTGTTTTTTTCGAAACAGGGCACTGCATACAGACCTGTCAACCATGAGACTGCTATCGCCCATCCAGGGAATCAAATGCTCCCCTTTATCCACATATTGAGCCTTCTCATTGTCACGAAACAATTTGCACGAATATCCAAAAACCAGAAGCTCTTCGTGGCCATTATTTGTGTCTTTTGGTCTTCCTTCCCACACAATTCGCCCGAACTCGGACGCCATGTTTTGGAGACCTAGCCGTATTCGATTGCGTGTGTCATGTAGTCCATCATTTTTAATATTTTAAATAATTCTTGGTATCTACATATAATTTGTTGCATTTCTTGTTCATTTTAATATTGCATTATATATTGATATTATAATCTTGCTAACTTCATCCCAGGGGATTAATCATTTGGGATATGGATGCAATATAGTTCGAACAAAGGGAATGCATCTTTTTTTTTTTTCGTAAAAAGGCTCTTTTGGATAATATGTCAAGACAATAGTAATCCTAAGCAAAACAAAAAATATGAAAAATACGAATTTATTAATACAACAATTTACATCTAATATACAATATATACATATATAAATATACATATGTTCTATATATATATTCTATATATTCTATACACATATATCTTATATATATATATATATATATATATATATATATATATATATATATATATATATATATATATATATATATATATATATATATATATATATATATAAACATATATATATAGTGACTAGAATCCGCCTGCTTAACTCTACTTAAATGTGAAAAATAAACTATTAGGAAAGATGATACTCTGAGTCGCGATAAATAAAGGGATTACAGCATGCCTTTTTTCTGTTTCTTTTTCTGGTGAGCCGCCGCTATCTCCGGAAAGTTTATATCGTCCTCCTGTACGTGCCATGAAAAGTAACAAGGTAAAACTATTTCTGGCACGAGACGCTGGAGTTCGCCTGGTTGGAAACCCGAATTCACAGGCCCGGAGGATTTTGACGCTGCTGAAAAGGAATGAAGAACAATATATGAGTCTTGCTTAGGCTACTGAAGGCCAAATCTTGGTAAATGGCCATTAAGGGTCCAAGAGCGTTGGGCTGAGTATTCTGAGCGGCATGGTCATCAGTGATGTGGTGATCTTACTGCCTAATCCCGCACCAGCCTTAGGCATCCCACTCTGTAAAGCAGTGGTTCCCAACCCCATGGTCGCGAACCAAATGAGGGTCACCAGGGTTTTTTTCTGAGGGTCGCCAGAGGGTCTTAAAAGAAGAATCCATAGCCGGATATGTCAGTAAAAGTTCATGTTTTTATTAACAGTTGTTTATTGATATTCAATGTGTTGACAATACAAACCTATAAAAGTATTGAATAAAGTAAGCTAATATATATCTGCAAGTATAACTACCGTGGAAATGGTTGGATGTATTACTAGACGTTCACACATAGGGTCGCTGGCCCAGGCTAAAAAAAAAGTTTGGGACAGCTGTGGAGGGAAGACGGATCGCTCGGACCGCAGTAATCGTTGAGACATTACACTACTTCAGTATACCAGGCAAAGTGCTTGCTTTAATTCTTCTGAGTCTTATTAGAGACTACGTAGTGAGGCCCCAGAAATCATAAGTAATTTAGAAAGTAATTTCTGCCACCTGTCTTTATGCTTCGAGTTAATGCAGAACGCCATCGTGAGTTGGTCCGAGAGCTCGAGAAGGCATTTGACTCAGTTCATCGCGAGTCACTCGAGACTCAGAAAAATGCGAACAAATATTATTGGATTAATTGCAAGCTTTTCTACTGGTACTGGAAGTGCTATAAATTAATCGTGGTGAGGGTAGGTCTAGCTTCTTCCCTGTGAATTTGGGAGTAAGATAGGGCCATGTTCTTGCATCAGCCCATTTCAATACATGTGTGGAATTAATGACGAACATATTGCAGCTGGAACAATTATGTTATTATCCTTGAAGTTCTGATGTGACAGACAGAGCAACAGGAACAGAGAAGGAGAGACAGACAGAAGAGAGAGAGAGAGAGACAGACAGACAGAGAAACAGACCGACAAACAAACAGAGACAGGGACACACTGTCTGTCTCTATCTCGATGTCTGTGTCTGTCTCATTGTCTGTGTCCGTCTCAGTGTCTGTGACTGTCTCTGTGCCTGTCTCTGTCTGTGTCAAGTCTAAAAATAATGTATCCATAGATCTCTTACTGCAGTTATTTTCAGCGTGTTTTGAAAATGGAATACAACCGAAAATATTCGGCAAAGGAACAATTAATCTCATTCCAAAATCCTGAAGTAACGATCGAAGAATCCCACTCAATAACAGAGGCGTTATGCAGATATCGTGTGTTGGGAAAATGTACTCAGGACCTTTAAATAATCAATTAAGATACTTTCTGGAAGTAAATGGGGTTCTGTCGGAAGAACAAAATGGATTCCGTAAGGGTCGAAGTACCACCGAACACATTTTCTCATTAATAACAGTATGCAAAAATCGTGTTAAAGAGTGCAAGCAAACGTTCTGTTTTTTCGCGGATTTACAGTGAGCATTCGGTTGTACGGATCGAATTTGCCTTTTTTCAAGATTATTAGAAACAGGTATAACAGGGAAGCTATTCAATGCCATTAAATCATGTTACGAACATACAACATGTATTGAATTACATGATGATGTAAGTGAGTCATTTGAGAACAATAAAGGTTAGGCAGGGAGATACATTGAGCCCTACTCACTTCATATTTTTCATCAACGACTTGGCGGAGGAAATTAAACGGAGTGGAATCAGTGTAGATTTCCATGGTTGAAAATCTCACTCCTACTTTATGCAGATGATGCCGTGCTTTTGGCTGAGGCTGAGTCAGATTTGCAAAACCTCATCTCAGTTCTAAATAGCTGGTGTAAACGATGGAGACTCAATGTAAACAAATCGAAAACTCAAATTATGCATATTAGACAAAAAAAAAATAGTCACGCTCAAAATTTGTTTTTAAATAAAATGACTATGAGGTTTTGCAATATGCATCAGCTTGAAATACTAAGTCTATTGCTTCATGAGCACATGAGCTATTCCACCCCTACCTACGATTTGTCTGTTAGAGGTTCGAACGCACTCGGATCTTTCCTAGCCCATTTCTATGCAAATAATGGGATGGGGTTTTACACATTCAAAACATATAAAGTTTGCATAGTAAAAGTATGTGACTATAGTGCAGGTGTGTGGGGATACGGTACCCAAACTCTATGGTGTCCATGGCATACCGTTGGGGTGTTACCTCGGAGTACATAAATATGCTCCTTTGGCCACTTTGGAGGCCGAGATGGGTTTCAACCAGACTCTACGTTTCAACTCTCCGCCAGTGAGGAGGAAGTTGGAAATGGTTCGGTTCTGGAACCACGTAATAAAACTTAGCAATAATAGGTTGCCAAGAAAGATATTTGACGTTGGATTTATAAATAAACAGTTGGTGGTCAGGTATCAAATCTATTTTCTGTGAACGAGAATGTGGACATATTTATCGGAATACAATGATGGTTAATGATATAAAAGGGATACATGACAAACTGAATGATATGTATCAAAGGCATCTACTTCAATAAATCAGTTCAAAACCTAAACTAAGAACATACAAAATCATCAAGACAGATTGTAGTCCAGAGCCGTACGTAATGAAATATGGCTCGGAAGAAGCGCGCTGTTTATGAACAATTTAGGATCACAATTCTTCCATTAAGAATATAAACGGGTCGATTCCTGAATGTACCTTTTCATGAACGCATTTGTGAATACTGTGATGATAAAATGTGACAGAGGACGAAATCCGTTTTCTTCTCGAATGTAGTTTATACAGTGGCCTGAGACAAGAACTGATGCAGAAATGTTCGGAGAGGAACAGAATTTATAGATTATTATATACGACAAAGAATTGAGACTACAATATTTGCTAAATCAACAAATTTTGATGGATTCAATAAATTTCATTACAGCAGCTTTTTACAAAAGAAAATGTTCAGAATTAAAAATAGTATGATCTTAACAGGTTTTGCATGGAGTTTTAAATTTGAATTAATGTTTTATATATATATATATATATATATATATATATATATATATATATATATAGTCAGTGTCTATGTATGTTTTATGAAATTGATTTTAGATATATATTTTTTATCAGATAGTGTCTGGGTAAGTCCAAATGGACTAGATACACGCAATTTAATGTATTTGATTGTATTGTTATGTATCTGATTATATGTAAAAAAAAATGTATCGTGACACTTTAATAAATAAACAATTGAATTGAATTGTGTCGGTCTCTGTCTCTGTGTCTGTGTGTGTCTGTCTCTGTGTCTGTGTCTGTCTGTTTCTGTCTCTGTGTCTGTCTGTGTCTATGGCTCTGGCTCTGTGTCTGTGTCTGTCTCTATGTCTGTATCTGTCAGTCTCTGTGTTTGTCTCTGTCTTTGTGTCTGTATCTGTCTCAGTGTCTGTCTCTGTCTTTGTGTCTGTATCTGTCTCAGTGTCTGTCTGTCTGTCTGTCTCTGTCTCTGTCTCTTTGTCTCTGTGTCTATCTCTGTCTCTATCTCTGTGTCTGTGTCTGTGTCTATGTCTGAGACTGTCTCTGTGTCTGCCTCTGTCTTTGTGTCTATGTCTGTGTCTGTCTCTGTCTCTATCTCTGTGTCTGTGTCTGTCTCTGTGTCTGAGTCTGTCTCTGTTTGTGTCTTTGTGTCTGTATCTGTCTCTTTTGGCTGTGGCTGTGGCTGTCTCTGTGTCCGTCTCAGTCTCTGTCTCTGCCCCTGTGTCTGTCTCTGTGTCCGTCTCAGTCTCTGTCTCTGCCCCTGTGTCTGTCCCTGTGTCTGTCTCTGTCTCAGTGTCTGTCTCTGCGTCTGTCTCTGTACCTGTCTGTCTATCTCTGTGTTTCTCTCTGTCTCTGTGGCTGTGGCTGTGTCTCTCTCAGTGTTTCTCTGTCTCTGTGTCTGTCTTTGTCTCAGTGTCTGTCTCTGTCTCTGTGTCTATCTCTGTCTCTGTTTCTGTATCTGTCTCTTTTTCTGTGTATGTCTCTGTCTCTGTCTCAGTGCCTGTCTGTATATATATATATATATATATATATATATATATATATATATATATATATATATATATATGTGTGTGTGTGTGTGTGTGTGTGTGTGTGTGTGTGTGTGTGTGTGTGTGTTGTGTGTGTGTGTGTGTATGTATGTATGTGTGCGCGTGTGCGTGTGCGTGTGTGTGTGTGTGTGTGTGGTTGTGTGTGTGTGTGTGTGTGTGTGTGTGTGTGTGTGTGTGTGTGTGTGAGTTAATAGCAGTTGTAATTAAAATTACTACGAAGATAATTGTGATAATGACAACGATTTAATGGATAATGTGGATGATGTCATTCATAGTAATAAGAACAATGACGGTAACAATAAGAACACCTGTGATAATATCAACAATCTCAATAACAATACAATCTCACGAAAATAACAATGATGAATAATAGTCGCAATATCAATCATGATAATAACATTAATGATAATATTAATATCAATAAGCAATACTTTAATATCATAATCATCATCATTCTATGAGTCATTATTATGTTTCATTATTATTATCATTATCATTATTATTGTGATTACAATGATTACCAATGACAGTATTGAGAGCAACGGCAATAGTTGATTAAAAATTAATAACAAAGATAATAAACATAACAGTAATAACATGTGGTTTGAGTAGAATATATTTGTTTTGTGATAAATAACCATAGATAGAACTTTAAATCACACAATGAATAATTGTGGATAACTGAACTTTAAAACATTTTTGCACTTTCTCCCGTCAGTCAGTAAAAACGAATAACAAAGATAATGACCACAGAAGTAATAACATATGGTTTGAGTAGAATATATTTGTTTAATGGTAAATAATCATGGATAGAATTTTAAATCACACAATGAATAATCGTGTATAATAGGACTTTAAAACATTTTTGCACTTTCTCCCGCCAGTCGCATCACACGTTACAACTAAACAATTTCCTTCACCTGACTTTCAACCAATCAAAGGACACCTTTCATTCACATATCAACCAATCAGACAAGTCTTTTTATCCCTGTGCTTGAGAGTCGGCCAATCATATGAGGTCTCTCATCCTCGCGCCAGCCAATCATTGGCGAGAACCTCCAAAACGTCAACAGAACAGAAGTTTAAACCGGCGAGGGGACAAGATCCGTGTACTTACTTTCACAAAAATCCAAATTTAACTGCCAAAGACGTGAGTGTTTGTATTTTAGTTATATCACGAAGATAGAAAACTATTTTAGGGTTGTGGAATATTATAAAAAGTAGGAGGATGTGCGAGTGTTAGAGAAATAACGGATGGATAAGCGTCCTGTAATGACCTCACCATGTTGGAAGAGAGCGGAGCAGCCTTTTAAATCCCCGCTTCGTTAAATTTTTCTTCCATTCTCGAAATTTTATTATTTTTTCTATGATAATGAAAATTCTGTGATCCTGTAAGCCATTTTGCTGGGAGGCTATATTGATAGTAGTTATCATATAAGCAAAGGTAATGTATTTCAACTTTGAATTGTAATATTTTTGAATATTTAATATTTTGGAAAAACAGCTGTTGTTATATCGAAAAGATATAGGCGTTATGCATTCACATATCCATTCTGTACATGCTTTTCTTTTACTTTTCATATAGTATGGAGGAGGGGAATATACTGGTTAACAAATAAGCAAAGGTATTTTAAGGTTCTCTACTAATATGGTTATTCTAGATTTGGAGAAAAAAAATGTAGTATAGGACTGCACCCATCAAGTTAATTCTTTATGGTATGGACACACTCACTAGAATTTGTTCCCAACACCGTGTCACAAAATTTGTTCTATAGTCTTAAGTTGCCGTGACTGTGTGTGCCTTTCATGCACTGTTCAAGAGGAGGGTTGATGGACTGGGGCTCTGCCGTAACATCCCCTCAGGAAACATTTTCTTGACCTCAGTATGCATGGCAAGATCAGAGCTGAAACTCAGGACCTCCAAGTGGGCTTAGGCTGTGAGCAGTGTTTTCCGCAATCTTTTTTCTTTATTTATGAATTTGCTACAGGTTAAGTTTCATACACCCACCTTTTAGACAAAAAATATATGCAAACGATAGAGCGAGTGATTATAAGAAATCTATCTTCTATGTACTTCAACTGCAATGGGAACAAATAAATCACATTCTAAATGCACAAGCTAATGCAAAAATTGCAGTGTGATCTAAAAACCTTTTGGCATAGTATGTTTCTCACTGTCATGTAGTACAAGGTCAGATTTGCCTGCAATAGACAGAATGACTAAAAAAATTACTTTTGTTCTGATAGCAGGAAAGGGCATGAAAGGGAAATTGCAGGGTAGAATATGAATAATTTGCACAGAATCTGTTATTATAATGTCCAATGGGTATTTTTTTCTATTACATCTGCATAACAGATTGCAACAATTTCAGTATTGATAGATTCCTCTCACCAACTACAATGCAAATATATAGGTTTTATTGTATGAAAACCCCTCTAACCCCCACATTCTTGGTCTCATTAGCAGGGAAGGGCAAAAAAGGTACCAGGGAAATTGAAGGGTAAAATTTAAATAGAGACACAGAATCAGTCACTATAATGTCAAATGCAGGAGGCTCTGGCCCCTGCAAACACTCCATGGGGGGGTGTAGCTCATTAAACCCTGTGCAGGAAAGCAAAGAATTCTACACATATTCATTGCAGGTGAGAGTGTCAGACACACTTGGCAATGCTGTTCTCGCAAGGTGGTCGAACACACACTCCTGCCGTGAATACATGGAGGATTCTTTGTTTCCCCAGGTAGGGCTGGGGGCAGCAGCCCCCCATAGGGGGTCACAGTCTATCGGTAAACTGCATCAGAAAACATAGTGACTAATTCTGTGTACATTATTTACATTTTACCCTGCAATTTCCCTGGTACCTTTTGTGACCACCTCTGCTATTGGGGCCAAGAATATGGGGGTTTGGGGGGTTTCTGCACATTGTTTTTATTACATATTTGGAAACTAGACAGTGAGAGGAAGCCAGTGATACCAAAATCATTACAATCCATTTTGTGGAACTATTAGAAAAAAATTACCTGTCTATATGTAAGCCCTCTCAAGGGAGTCTACTACCCCCAACCCTTGTAATGAAAGAAAAAGAATCCTCCATATATTCATAACAAGGTAGATCAACTAACATGTGGAAGCGCCTAATGCCGTGTCTGCCATATGCTTTATCTTGCCAAACATTTGTAGAGGGTTCTTTGGTAATTGATTACAGTATTGATGCACTCACCAGAGACTTAGTCCCCAATTCTACGTCAAAAATTTATTGATCAACTTAAGTTTTGTGACTTCACCTCAATATGCATCGAGCCAAAACTCAGAAGCACAGAGTGGACTTTGTTTGAAATTGGCACTTTCTGTGATCTTTTTCCTTTATTTGTGGCATCACTGTGTGTGAGTGCAGATTATTTCTTGTACTGACGACTGCAGCTTTTTCCCCCTCTACAATAATATCATATTCAATTAGCCCTAACGTAGTGCATCCATACTATAAAGATTAGCCTTTTCTTTTATTGTTAGTTTCCCCTGCCATTTTTCTGTTACTGGGGCCAAGAGTGTTAGGGTTTGGGGGAATTTTGCTGCATAATTTCTGTGTCCTAGAAGGTAAGAGAAATCCATCAATACGAAAATTATCAGTTGTGCAAAGTTATTTTGAAAAATTACTGAAAGTTGTGCAACACTAATACTTTAGTATACTTTAACAGAACATGTAATGGCACTATAAGAATCAAAGAGTAAAACTACTCTCACTAATTCACTAATTCACGTGGGTAGAGGTCCGGGAGGCAGAACCACAAACAGGAAAATATGGCAATTAAATGGTGGTCTGGGTGAAGCCCCCCAGTTCAGGAAGGATTATGATTTGTACAGTAAAGTTTGTGGATTTCCTAGGAATGAGTGGAGTAATATGGGCTTAATTTTCATAAGCATTACTAATACTTTCATTTATATAATTTTTGATGGAAAATAAGAGATTTACACAGTGCAGCGGTGATAATTGAAAGAAGGAAAGATAATTGCAAGATTGGATGGCTATGTGAAACTAAAAGATTACTGTCATTTCTCTCTAGTTGGTGTTGTTCTTTAGTATACTTGACATACAAGACTAGTTGACATATTGAAGTAATGGGTTGTATATTCATTGTAGTGCTTGAGACTGAAGCGCAAACATATATTCTGGTGTTGCCATTTAGTGGGTTACTTTACCAGAGGGAGTTCAGAATCTTTATGCACAACATACTGTTTATAGATTTATATAGTCATTTAAGAATATGCCTTTGTTACTTCAGATGATGATGGAGGGAGAAGAGAAGGAGAACATGGCCAGAGTTGGTCGAGGGCTGCACAAGCCGCTCACCCACACAGTGTCCAGCCATTCTAGTGGGCCATCTGAATCAACTGGTAAGTAAAGCTTTTATCCTGAACAAGCCTCTTCAACATTTATATTTTTGTTTGTAGTGGTATTTTTTTTTTTTTTTTTTTTAGGTTTCTCTCTACTTTCCATACTTAAAATTCGAATGTAGGCTTGTTTCAAGTGCATTTTAGATAATAGCATTAATATAAATATAAATCTTTGAATGACTTTTTAATGTATACTTGTATATTTAATTTCATTGTCAACTTGTAAATACATGAAAAGTATCCATGATTTTGTTGTCTATTACGTTTACCTTGTACTGTATGGCTATAAGAAACTAAATATTCCTATCTTTTCTTGAAACTTATTGTGCTGAGTTTGAAGTACACTTACTTGAGGATAAAAGTATTTTAGGACAAACCTGATAAAGCTCACAGTTCAATTCAGTGAGATTTGCGATGTCTGCTCACAACTCTAGATAATGTAACGAGGTAATGTTCGGCTCCCCACGATGCTTGCAGCACATGTCAGCAGAAGTAGCCTAGTCTTATTCTGTACAGTATAACTTTGACGCCTCTATTTATTGTTGAAGGAAGTGCCTGGGGTGTCAGAGTACCATCTGGGTGAGGGGGAGGTTCTGGCTTTTTCTGTGTATCTGCTGGAGAATGGCAAGCACTGTGGCATTGGACCTGCCCCTTTTAAGATTTTTCAGCTTGGGTTGATCATAGAATTTAGCGGCATAATGCAGCCTTTTTTTGGCTAGTCTCAGTAAACTCATTCCCTTTGATGTCTGTGGCTAGGAACCCAATTTATAACGATTCTTGTCCTGAGCAAGAATTGTCATTTGATGAAAAATCTGAAACTCGAAGCTATGATTATTTTTCAATAGCTTCTAGTTTACCATGTATTACAGAATAATGTAGCATTAAATGTTATACTTAGTGTTGAGGCTAAGATGAGGTTTTCTCTTTACAGCAAAATCTGTAACACACAAGTCAGTCTCTAGAATGTTGTCAAACCCTATACCAGCCAACAAGCCAACTGCAGTTACTAGGCCTCGGATGGGTCCCCAGGTATCTCGCAAGCCACTAAACGATGATACTAATCAGCCAAGAAGCAAGAGTGAAAATACAGTTTCAACAGGTAGGTTGTTTGGTTAGTTTCATGTGGGTCCATTGATCACTTTAGATAACCAGTTTTATTCTGATGATTGATGTTCATGAGTATGGAATAGTTATGTGGTTAAATTTAATATGTTCTAATGGAGTGAATCTCTAAAGTCTTGTTCCACATATACGTCTTAAAAAGATTCCTCCCTCCCCTACTCCTACCTGTCTTATTTATTGCAACAAAGAAAACCCAGACTTTGGTTTTGTGTTAACTAATGAGACAGCTAAATGAATGACGGTACAGTCTGGGACTAAAGTCCTCGGAATGGTTTTGCATGTCTTGTTTATTGCCCATAGATGCCACTGCAATTGCTATGTAGTAAAGGGGTGGATTCATAAATGGAGGAGGGAGGAGAGATGGAGGCGAGGCACTGGTAATCAGTACTCTTTTTTTTTTTTTTGTAAATATTGCCATTGTATGGAAACCATTAACTGAAAAATTGAACAGATTAATAAATGACTATCAATTAGCTCAAGTAGACGAAGCAGCAGTTGACGGGCAACGAGATTCTCATCCACTTCAAACAGCAGTAGGCACGAGAGTGGCTGTGGCGGTTCATGCGAGACTGTTGTAAACTCTGTTTGCCTCATGACTGAAATGGATGAAACAGTACAGGAGTGGGAGTTCATTGACGCCCTTGCATTTGTCTCGATCTCGTTGATTCAATCACGTTTGAAGGAATGTAATGAATCCCCAGAACCCAACTCTGGCCTCCCTCCCTTCTCCATTCATGAATCCGTCCCTTTACTACACAGCAATTGCAGCACCATCTATGGGCAATAAACAAGACACGCAAAACCATTCTGAGGACTTTAGTCCCAGACTGTACAAGTCTAAAAACTTAAATGTATAGCAATTATTGCTGAATGTTGGAAGTACCAGAAAATGTCAATTGAATTGAGTGCTTTGATTAGTTTGAAGCCAACATGTGTGTCCTTTAAACCCATTGATGCCCAGATTGCATTTAGACATTCCCTATTACATGCAGAAGTACTTTGTCACTGAGGAATTAGTTACTGAGCCTTCGTGATTTCACTGGTTTACCCAATTCAATGAATTTTTATAAAGGAGAAGAAAAAAGTGGACGGTGCATGCACCTGGTGCCATTGGGTGAAAAACAGTAACCTCATGTTATCCTCTTTTGTTGTTCCCTTCATACCCTATTCATATTGATCCTAAGTTATATTGAAAGAGAAAATAGATTGATGAATAGTAAGGGTGATGAAAGAAGTCAAGTTCATGCACATGAAACAAAGCTGTATGGTTTAAACATTTCCACTCATATCAGGGTCAAGCAGTAGCCAAGCAGTGTCACACAAACAGGCTGCATCATCACGTTCAAACACCCTATCCTCAGCACAGCGTAACGTCAAAACAGAATCGACACATCCCAAGGGCAATGCTATATCCTCTGCAGGTTTAGTATCTAACTGAAATTTGTGTAGTATTGAGTGATTCAGAGAAATGCTTTTTTGACTAATTATACAGCTCAGGTTGACAATCCGTTTTTCTATTACAAATTTTCACAGAAGCAGTTTCAAATTTATTTTACTGCACAGGCCTGCTACTACTGTTTAGAAGTAAATATACAGCTCCAGTAAATATAAAAATGGATGAAGATTTATGAGGACACTGGTGGTGCTGAGTAGGCAGGACCTAATAGGCACTGGGTGTTGTGAACTGGGCATGTATAGTGTTATCCCAGGCCTCAATTTTATCCACTTAGATCTTTTTTGCTCTTTCCCAGTCTCTGCAGGCCAGAAGGGCCTGGACTGACCTGCACTGATGTACTGTTATATTGATTTTGTAAAATTGCCAGATATTCAGGGGCATCATTGGAGAAGAATTGGCCCACCCCCCCCCCCCCCTCCCCCCAAGGGCCACACTACCACAATGTTTTTGCCTAAATTACACTTTCAGAGCTCTTGTTGTTGCTACTAGAATAGTTAATTTTGTAAATGAAGAAGAATTGGGGCTTGCAGTGCCCCAATATGCTTGCCAACCTTTTACCCCCCCCCCCCCCCCCCAAATTTTGAGTGCTAGATATAGGAAAAAGATCCAGAAAGTGAAAACAAAGTTCAGTATTCTGTCATGCACTCTTGATGTACCTGTGTCTGGTAGTTTTGATTCACATTTAGTTTTATGAATGTGCGGATAGTGATTTTATTCTTTTAAGAATGGATTTTCTAACATCAATTTATGGTGTGCCCCATACAAAATTTATTCAGCAAATTAAGTTATCCAGCACCTTCCAGAGTACAATGATGCCAAAAAACTGATTGTCAACCAGTATTATCGTAATTACTTGAGTGGTGGTTATTTTTTTAAGGCTGGATGAGACTTAACGAGAAAATATAGAAAAAAATTGATGGAATATGTTTAGAAATTAAGGCAGTATTGAAATTCATACTTGAAATCACATACTCTCCTTAATACTTAACAAATTTAGTTTAGTTTACAAGTGTAAATGGTCATTTCATATCTTTTAGTCAATGTGTGATGAGTTTTCCCCATAGTTCATGGGATGTTGCTATGGCAGTGATTCCCAACCAGAGTTCTGCCGACAAGCTGTAAAATGATGGTGCTATTACAAGATAATAGTGATCTTAATTTATAATTCTTAATACTCAGCACATTGCAAACACTTCCCAGTCACCAACATACTTGTACGTGTCTGTCAGTACAATGTATACTGTATAGTAATGAGAGCAAACAAGAAAAAAATTAGTCACTTCATGTACTATAGGCCTGTGTTGGGGTAGCTTGAAATATGAAAAATTACTATAGGGGTTCCTCCAATGGGTAAAGATTGTGAATCACTGCTTTGGCATTAAATGAGAAGTCCACGGTATTGAGCAAATTGTAGTTGTCGTTCATGTTTTATATCATAAATGCCCCATGATTTATATATTATATATATATAATATATATATATATATATATATATATATATATATATATATATATTGGATTTGGATTAGTTAATGTAAAAAGAAATTATACCCCATTAGTTTCAAGTAAATCAAACTCATTTCAGTTTTTTGTGTAAATAAAGACAAAATATTTTAAATAGCATCTTTTTCTGTTATTATTATGATAACTATTACAGCTATTGTTTTTGTTATTGTTACTGTTAGCATAATTATTATAATTATTATTATTGATAATAATTATTATTGTTGATGATTCATTATGATTATTTTTTATTATTATTTTCATTATTATAATTGTTATTATTATTATTATATTATAACTATTTCTATTTCTATTATAGGACTATTGTCATTATTATTGTTTTTACAATTATTGTTATTGTATTAAGTTTAACATCTAAACTATTTTTGCATATGTAGAAGTGAAATGAAAACAATTTTTTATTCATTTATTTTATTCTGTTTACTCTAGCAATCAAGTTCTGTAACCTTTGTACATTGCAGTGAAAAAAACCATTGTAGCCCGAGTGGCAAGTCATACTCGACCAGTCATAGATAACAAGGCTCCAAGACCACAGATGGGCACTAAAGCAGTGGGTTCATCCACAAGAACTGTAAACCCAATGCACAAACAGGGGGGAGATCACAAGGGAAATGCTCAGCTGAAGTCAGGTAATGATTTCAAAAGATTTTTGGTAATATAATACTCTCCTTCCCCCCTTTTTTTTCTTTTTCTTTTTTTTCTTTTCTTTTCTTTTCTTTTCTTTTCTTTTCTTTTCTTTTCTTTCTCTTTGAAGATCCTTTGGGATATTTTTATTTTTTTGTTACTTGTAATGTATTCTGTAGTTATAAACAGTAGAATAAAAGGACTGAACAGTTCTAAAGATTGACTAGGGAGTCTAGACAGTTATCTCATTTTTGAATCTATTTTCATTTGTACTTGAATGTATACAAATTTGATATAGTGTTTAGACAGGATTAATCATACTGTATTATCTTTAGGACAAACACATCATAAGACGGGAAGTGCTTCAGAAATAAAAATACCTTCACCACAAATTAACAAGTCTACTGCACCAACAAAGCAAGGTCCAGCATTAGCCAAGGAGACTGCTGCAACAAACACCATAGGCAAACCCTTGGATGATGATCCACGGTCAACAGTAGCCAGTCACCAACAGAAACCTGTAGTACCAGCTTGCCCACAGGAATCCACAACAGTCAGTGAAACCAAAGAACAAAATGAAACAAAGTCTTCCTCTGATCAGCCCGACAGCCAAACAAAAACCCTTCCGGAAGATGTGAAGGGAGAAAATCAAACAAACAAAATCATAGATGATTCTGCTCCCCGAGAAAATACTGCCAAGGGGCAACAGGCAGAGGAATCAGAAGAAAAGAAAGATGACTGGGGTCCCGATGAATCAGAACAAGAAAAATCCTCTAAGTATGTTGAATTTTTATTTTTTAGGCCTAAACAAAAAAGTGTTCAAGATTTTTCACCTAGTGTAAAAGCAAATTCTCTTATGAAATTTAGTGTTGGGGTATTAGCCATCCTGTACACACAATACTTATTATGCTCTTATGATCTATATTATCATTTTACTAGTATTTTCACCAAGAATGAAGGTTTTTAGCCAGTTTCTCGTTTTAGCAGGTAATATGGGTAGATGTTGCTATGACAAATATATTTGCCCGTTAAAAGTTGATTGCAAATTTGTGCATGAGTGGCTGCTGAAAGGGTAGAGTTGAGTAAATGCATGCATTTTTGTAAAAGTTAACATGCCACTGAAGATTAAATGCTACTTGAAATAGAAAATAATATTCCTACTAGTTTGCTAAAATTAGGTATTCATTGATAAGTGATGTGAGAGCTGGAGCTTTTTCTTTGTCTTCTTCTTGGCCTAATGGATACCAGCCTATGTATCTATATATTTTTTTTTTGTAAATATACCTGTATGATGTCTATTTCATTGCCTAGTTTTGGCAAACAAGTTCTTGTAATACATCACTGCATTGCTTTCAGGAGACAATGGGTATTGGATGATTTCGAAATTGGCCGTCCTCTAGGGAAAGGCAAGTTTGGTAATGTGTATTTAGCAAGAGAGAAGAAGACACATACTGTGTTGGCTTTGAAGGTTAGTTGCACAGTTTTTTGTTTATTCTTCCTAAACTAGTCCAAATAATAAATATCTTTTTAATGGATTGCTTGGAAGACTTGCATAAACAATCCATGATGTAAACTGTGTTTGTGTGTGCACGTGTGTGGATGTATGTACAGGTGCATGAGAGTGAGTGTGTGGATGTATATGTACAGGTGCATGAGAGTGTGTGTGGGTGTAGATGTACAGGTGCGTGTGTGGGTGAGGGTGTGTACATGTGTGCATGCATGTGTACAGGTGTGCGACTGTGTGTGGGTGTGTGCAGGTGTGTGCGTGCCTGACTTCATGAGTCTGTAGATAAGGTGTTGCCAAATGAAATGCAGTAGACAATGGACTGAATTAATGTAGCTTGTAAGGCCAATATTTTAATTGTGTGTGTGTCTTGGTGTTAAGCCTATTTATCATTTGGCTGAATTAAAAAGAAAAAAAAGTTGAAAGTTGTTTCCATAACCAAGTGGACATAGGGGACATGTTCATAGAGCAACATTGTTACTAAACCATGGGATGATGCAGTAGGGTAGCCAGATCATTTTAGTAGTTATTCATTACCTGTGTTTACATATCATTAAGTGTATCAATATTGCACAACCTTATACTTTTCATTTGTGCAGGTGCTATTCAAATCTGTGCTATCGAAGGCAGGAATCATCCACCAAGTGCGCAGAGAAGCAGAGATCCAGTCCCATCTAAGGTAACAAATGAGGTTGTTGATTTCATAAACCATATCTAGAATTGTGAGAATAAAAAAGCTATTTCAGGAAATGGGTGGAACACTAACATGTTTATATACATATGCAAAATTGGGGTTGCAAGTGATGCAAAAGGTGTACATTATAATGCTTCCTTTTTACCCCCATAGACATCCAAATATTCTTCGAATGTATGGGTATTTCCACTGTGAGAAACGTGTATACCTCATGCTTGAACATGCACGATATGGAGAGATGTACAAGGTGCTTTGCTCGCAACCCAACAAGCGCTTTACTGAACACCAAGCTGCAAACTATATTGTACAGGTAATTACGTTGAATGGTTATCACATGATCAGAATTTGGTAATGTCAGGCCTTTTTGTTCATAGATGTTGCATTGTTTGTTATATACCAGGTAAGGGGATGGGGGTGAGCAGAATACATTGGTTGTCCAATTCCACTTTTGGGAGAGAATAAAGGTTAAGGAATTTACCCTGGATAATGATATAAAGACTTCGTAACTTTGGACTTCTGACTGCTCTTTAATTATTCTCACAACTCTAAACTAATGAAAATGCTTGACAATATTGTTACCTTATACTGGTAGAGAAGCCGCCCTCTTTCATAGCTTAGCAGCTAGATCAGTTCATATACAGTGTTTGTGTTACTATCTATTTATTTACAAGTTAATTTTGTAATAATTTTTGTAGATTGTGATTTTAAGGCATTAGCAATTTAGATATAAAAATGTTAAAGCATGTTTCACAAATTATTGAGTAATGGCCAATACAATTATTGAAGCTTATCCTGTATGACCTTTTGTAGGAAATATATTAAAAAATTGACA